GGCAAAGCTGCTGCTGCTGCTGCTGCTGCTGCAAGGGCTTTAATTATTGCCTCAGCCAACAACTTTCAATTCTCTTCTTCAACAGCAATTGCACACTGCAGTAATAAGGATGAAATTGGTTGTAGTTTTTGCAGAGGGAGGGTGACCTCTCTAGCTCACTGGCCATCATGTGTGGTGACACAGCACCCCAGAGAGAACTGAGTCAGACATTGGGACGCATTTCCAGAACAACCTTATAGACACTTGGGCCAAAGAGTATGGCATTGAGTGGGTATATCACAGCCCCTGCCATGCACCAGCCTCTGGGAAAATCTTTTGGTCCTCCTGCATCATCTCTCTCTAGCCATTTGTTTTATTATAGTTCTTGCACCAGAACAACCAACAAGTGGATAAAGCGGCTAAGATTGAAGGGGCTCAGATGGACTTAGATTGGCAACATAAGGGTGAGTTATTTTTGTCCTGGTGGGCCCATGACACTTCAGGCCATCAGGGCAGAGATGCAGCATACAGATGGGCTCGTGACTGGGGGGTGGTTGCAGCAGTGGAAACAGAGCAACTGGCAACGCAGAGGTAAACCCCTCTGGGCTGCTGCACTGTGGCAAGATACGTCTTCCAGTGTGGATCCTTGTCACTTCACGGGTTTGATGGATGATCTCTTAATAGGGAATTAAATGGGAGAGCAAGTGACTAGCAGCTTTAATAAAAACAGAGGGGGTTGGGGAAGAAAAAGGAGGTAATCTTTTGGAATTATTAGCCTGAGTGCAAAAGAGCATTTCCTCAGCACAACAGCCAGAGCCTTGCTGTGCTGTTATTAAAGCACTTCAGTGGGAATTCATGCAGATGGTCTTTTTTACCTAGCATAGGATTATACTGGATTAGTCATATAAAATTGTTGTTTACTGTCTCTAGCCCTTTTCTCTGGAGCTTTTATCAGGATCTCATGGAGGATGAAGTTTGAGGTAATGCAGATGACAAGCTTTTTGTTTGTGCAAACTACTACAATGTTGTAGTTTAGTGCAGTCTTAATGTTGCAGTGAGAGGTTCTATAGCTGATAAAAGAGGATGTTTTGCCCAGATTTTTGTTTTGCCTTTTGGGTGTTCAAGAAGGAAAGGTAAACTGTAAGGAGACGCTCTCTCTTCTGTTTAGAAAAACTGTGCTGATCCTGCTTCTGCTTCATCAAACAGAAATTCCTAACGCTTGGCACCATTTTTCATACTGCTTGCTAATGACTCATTAAGGACACAACAGTTGATTAATGCAGTAAGTGGTGTATTAGATGTTTTTTGTGTTCCCTTTCTGTCACGCACAATCATATTGTGACCACGTTTCTTCTCCACATCCAGAAAGCCCAGGGATTGCTGCTTCAACACCCTCTGCGTTTCTCTTCCTGCCACAAGGGAACTCAAAACATGCAGTGCAAGAGACTCCCTTTAGATCTGCCGTGGGGGTTGGTTCATGTGGAAGTCGAGATTTTTGGCTTCCAGGTCTGACAGGCAGATGTACTGGTAAAATCGGGTCCTTCAGTGTTTTCTGGAGTTTTCACACTGGTTCTGTCATCCTGACATCTATACCATCCTTGTAGCCATATCTTCCAGGAGGTATGGCTGAGGGCTTTCCTGGGGTGCAAATGCCTTTGAGTCTCCCCCAGGACATATTTTTCTTCTCTGGAGGAGGTTCTGTGCACAAGGTAAAGCAGTCACAAGCTGTTACTCTTTTTCCTAGACTCACGTCTGTGTGTGGTAAAGGTCTTTTTCCCTGGTCTGGAAGGGAGAAGTGGCAGACTGTCTCTGCCATGTGCATGCCACTGTTGTTTTTCAAACATTATCCACTGAAAATACTAAAAATAATACCCCTGGAAACAAACTAACATTATAACCTGATGTTTCTATCTCTGAAGGTGATACAGAACTTCTGTCAGCATGTGTGGTAGGGATCTCTGTAGCATAATTAGGTTTGATAAATATCAGTTCTATTTGGTTTTGTCAGCTTTAAGATTAAATTGATTTCTTCTTACATATTATAAGGAAATATTTATTGTTTCTAATTCTGCAATCAGGCATCTTAAATCTAATCAGGTCTTGTTGCTTTTCCTCTTGGTATGCAGGAAATATTAATGTTTTGGACTGAATTCTGAACTTTTGCATTTAGCTATCCTCTGTGGTTGTGCAAAGACTTGGGAAACCCAGACGGCTTTTCTGTGTTTCAAGGAAGGCTCCTAGACACGAATAGGATTATTACTACCTGACTGAAGCTCAAAACAAGATGGAGAAAGGGCTTTTTTTCCTGTTTTGGCCATTGTGTTCCAGATTGTTCCTTGATTTTTCAAGTGGTATTTGTCTCTGAGATTGGCAGCACTGATTGTGCCAAAGAACATAACAGGCAGAGAGACCATATGAGCTTTGACAACTTCCACCCTGAAAGGCACTCTGAAGTCGCTGCTGGATGGAATAAAAGAGATTAATTTGGGGCAAGTGCAATTTTGATGTGTTTTTGCAAAGGTATGGAGATTTTCACAGGGGAATATTATTTCCTGGAAAATCTCATGAGGATGGTAGGTCTTTGAGGGTCGAAGGGACACATCCTGTCCTTTAATCTGTGTGGAAGAAATGCTATGATTGGAGTTATTGTAGGATTGCGTCAAGTAATCCTGTGCTCATATATTTTCTGACAAAGTAAATTAATGATTTTGGTGAAAAGCACTATGGGTCACATTCCTGCTGTTTGGCAGTAAGTAGCATGCTCAGCACCTGGAATCGATGACCTTTTCATTCATGTGTATCAGCATGAAATGTGTCTCAGTTCACACCAAGCTAAGTTAGAAGCAAGAATGTGAGGAAAACAGAATGTGTTCAACAAACCAGCTAAGTAATTGTGTGGGGAAATGTTTCTGCTGTAATTGCTTACTGTGTAAAGTGAGTATCTTAGTGGCATTTCATATCTACTGCCACAGAGAAGTTTTCCAAAAATCACGTATTATTGGTATCTCTGCAAGATGAACATGTTTCCTAATCAAGTACACAAGAAGTCTTTTAGCATTTGTATAAACTGTGGGCTTTGCATGCATGCTGGCTAACATCTTTTGATTTTTGGATGCTTCAAAATATAATGCCCCATGTTACCTAGTCTTGGGCCATTTGTTCAGATCTATCAAGTATCTTCAACTTGGAAGAATGGATGCTCAGTTTTTAAGTGGAGCCACTCAAAATCAGTGACCACTTTTGAAAATGTTTGATTATAAAGTGTGTGATAAAACCTACAAGAGCTTCAGCTGTAACTTTTCCCAACTGTTTGAGGTTATGAGTAGGGTTTTTTTTGGTGTCATTTGGATCAGCACTTGTTTGATGAAATCTGAATCTTACATAAACTCCCTGCAGGTCTAGCTGCGTAGTTGAGAAACCTGGCTGTTGTCTGCTTTCTCCGTCTATCTTCAATTCCTGTGCCAGCCATGGAAGGACAAAGAAAGGCTGCATGGCTGCTTCTAGGCTAGAAACTGGGAATTCTTGTTTCCCTTTTAGCTCTGTTGGTTCATTTCCCAGCTTTTCTGTGTGTAATTTTCCAGCCTGTTACTCGTAACAGTTTTGAGTTCTGAAAATATTTAGGTCTCAAAACCTGCATAGCTGTTGTCAGTTGATCTTGTGGCCTTCTGTTGCTATGTTACTTGTAAGTCCAGTCCCTCATGGGAGCAGGGTGCTTTCTTCCTGCATGTATGCCCTGCAGCCTGGTCTGTCAAAAATATCTGCAAAATACAAAAACCAAAGGGAAACCCCAACAAGTAGCAGTAATACCAAGTATGACAAACACCAAGGATACACTGGGTAGCACTGTTACCAGGCATGCTGTTACCTCCTGACCTGGTAGTTATTAAAGAGCCTATACTGTGGCTTCTGGTGTGATGGAATGGGGAGATTGATCATCGAATCACAGAACAGTTTGGGTTGGAAGGGACCTTGAAAGGTCATCTAGTTCCAACCCCCTTTGCAAGGAGCAGGCACATCTTCAACTACATCAGGTTGCCCAGAACCACATCCAGCCTGGTCCTGAATGTCTCCAGGGATGGGGCAAGCATCACCTCTCTGGGCAACCTCTGCTAGTTATTTTACTACCCTCATTGTAATGAATATTTTCCTCACATCCAGCCTGAATCTCCCCTGTTTTAGTTTAAAACCATTATTCCTCATTCTATTGCAACAGGCCCAGATGCAGATTATGCTTTTGTAGAGACATGTAACATGTTGAGTGGTGATGGACAGCTGTATCCATGCGGATCTGTGATGGGCAGTATTCTCAGTCCCCTGCATTTGGTATCCGCTAGTCACAGGAAATCACAGGTAAAACCAGTGGCAGTTTAAGAGACAGCCCGAGACGGGGTGTTTCTGCGCTGGCCCCAGAGGCTGAGGTGCACAGGCACAGTAAAGAAGATTAGGGAGCACCGAGTTCTGCCTCAAGGGAGAGAAAACAAGGCAGGGCGAGCAGCGAAGTGAGCCCTTCCCCGCCGCAGCAGTGTCCGCCCGGGGGCGCTCGCTGCTCAGGCACCTACCGCGCTGCTCCGGAGCGGAGGGAGAAGACGTGCCCGGCAGGGCGCCGCCTCCGCCTCCCCGCTCCCGCAGGGTGCGGCCGGAGCGGTCGGTGCTCCGCTTGCTGCCGTTTCCTTGGCGACGGGGTGGTAGCGGTGGAGGTGGCGGCGGTGTAGTCAGGGCCCTTGACCGCGAGCGGTCGCTCGCCCGTGACGCGTACTGTTTGGAGCCTATCCGGAGAGGCTGTGCTTTCCTAGGCGCCTGCTTGAGAGCCGTGAGGCGGCGGGCGGCCATTCCGGCAGCTTGGTGGGGACCTTTTATGGCTGGGTCCCGCAGGTGGTGGGTGCGTTCGAAAGGGCGCAAGCCGGCCTCAGCCCCTTCGGGAGCCCATGGCCCTGCCCTCCGTCCACAGGTGCCTGCAAGTGAGTGGGACCCGGATCGCGGCCGCAGCGCGGGGCAGCCTCCCGTTCGCCGGACACGGCCCGGCCTGCCCTGAAGAGGGCGCGGGAATGCTCGGGCACGGCGGGTCTGGGCTCGGCTATGTTTGCCGTTGCCTTCGCGTGCAGAGCTCACGCTTACAGTAGCTTAAGCGGTTTGTCGTTGGTAGTCCTCCTTCTGTTGGCCGAGTACCGGTCGGTAGCATAGGTTGTGCTTATTACGCTGCAGGTTAGGGCAGTGAAGTCGGTTGTGTTTGGGTCGTAGAGGAAGTGACAGGTGCTGCTGGACGAGGTTCAGCCACTGCGCAGGCAAGACATTCTGCTAGTGCAGCTGTAGCTCAGCCTTTTGGCTTCTGTGAGGTTAAAAAGCGATGATGTTTAGAAATGTGATTGAAACTTGTAAGTTTTGTCTCTTTATGATTCTTTTAGTACAAAACCAGTTTGCCTTATCATTCACTAATAAATTGCGAAGTTGCAATAGAAGCATTTAATACATATGTTACTGTGTCTTAGTCAGTTCTTCTTGACTTTTGAAGACAATTACTTTTTATGCTATTTTCCTTTATATATTTCCATAGTTTAAGATAATCATAATGAAGCTTAAGGGAGATAATTTTAACCTGAAATATTATCAGTTTAATTAATACCTAATCAGAAAATGTCTTATTTTTCTTTTTAAAATTCTCTTCCTTTTCAGCTCAGTGATGAAAATGAACAGTTAGTCAAGAAGTTGAAAAAACTGCATGTAAAAAATAAGGAGCTAGAAAATAATCTGGGTCAGATCCAAGAAAAACTACATCTTCAGCGGTTAATACGTGACTATGGCACACACAGAGAGTAAGACTTGTTCTTTCTGTATCAAAAGAAATAAGTATTTCAGGATTTTTTATCTTGATACTCTTCAGATGAGTGAGGCCACACCTGGTCTGGGTATTCTGAGGGGCTGTCTGTGAACAGGATGGTGGAAATGGAGGATGCTGAAGGCATATAAAGGAACAAAGGATGGCTGGGGCAACTTGTAAAAATTCGTTGTTGTAGTGAAAGAAACAGTTTTAATGTCAGTAAGTTATATCCCTGCTTAGCCAACATGCTATCTCTGTTTTACTCCAGAGTTTTAGACTGTTTTTATACCAAACAGTAGTAAGGTAGTTAACGTTTTAAAGATTTGGAAACCAGGAGCTTAGGACTTGAAAAACTATAGTGCTAGTGTTTTGGTGAGTGTCCTCCCAGGATTTGAGTACCTGTTTGCACAGCTTTCAAGTTTAAATTTTGGTGTGTTTGTGGTTCTGTGTTAAAACTTGTGTTCTAAAATCAAGCTGAAAAGTAACTTGGGCTTTTTCAGTCACTTTGTTTGATCCAATTAAAATTATAAGATGTGATTTTATTAAGCTGTTTTGTTTATTTCATTAAGTGTTCAAGTTCAAACAGAAACCCATTTATGGCACAAGGGTGAATACAGGAAGGATCTTATTCTAGAGGGTGACAGTGTGAGGTGAGTTCTTGAAAAACTGCTTCTTCACAGAGGTAAATATTCTCCATGGAATAGAATATTTTTTCATGGTTGTCAACTGAATTTTTGTTAACTGTTATGGAAGTGGCTTTCAGCCTTTGAAACAACAGAAGATTGTTTTATTTACATTTTAAAAAGAAATACTAAATCTTAGATTAAACTTGAAACTAGGAGTAAACAAAGAACAAAATGTATTTCTGTCTCAAATCCTTCATTTCAAAAATTTGAATGAGCCAAGGAAGCTCTGTAGTGTGTGCACATGTGATGTTTTTTGCAGATTTTTAACCTCGTAATTTCTTTATTTTGTGGGAGATTTCTTAGCTCATTTGTTTCTATAGCTCAGTTTTATGTATGTATAAAACCTATAGGATGGTGCTGTTTTCAAAATAAGCTAGATAAGTGATTCTAGTTTTCAGTCTACTTGATTTTTGGAAGTGAGCCACTACTTACCATTGTTTGCCAATTAGTGGTAGAAATAAGCTTTCTTAACAGCTTTTTTGATGCAAAAGATACTTTTTTGCTTTGAGAAAATACATATTTTCTGAGTATGCTACATAAAATGTTGGCCCACCAGGCTATGACTTGATTTTGAAATAAAGAGGCTGCTTCATTCCTTATAAAGTTATTTTGTGTTCACTTAAGAAATGGGCTGTGACTCTTAAGAAGATAGGCAGTCCCTACTGCTTTTAATTTCAAGCACCCTGTTTTTAGGGTTTGCTTTAGGTGGTTGTAGAAGGCCCCCCCTTTTTTTTTTCCCTTTTTTCCCTTTTTTAATTTTTTTTAAAGTTTTTTTACAGTATGCCAGGCTTTCTTTGCAAACCTACATAGGAAGGCTGTGCGTTTAGCTCCGGGCTTGAACTGAGTGCCTAACTAGATGCTTATGTGGAAGAAATCCAAGTTTCTCTTTGAATCTGGTGCTGGACCTGCTTTGTATTAGGTTGCACTTGGATAACCTGACTGAGCTTTTTCTTCTAGCACCTGTTTGTATGTGATTTTACAAAGCTGTTCTGTGCTATTCTGTATTACCATCCTGCTTCTGGTGCATAGTCATGACCTAGTATGAATGCCAGCTCTTATCTAAATTCCTCATAAAATAGGGAAAATGTCATGCTCATCAGTTACATTACGGGCCTGATGTATGCTGTAAAATGTGGTAGCAACTTAATGTAGCAGAACTTGATGCAATATATTATCAAAGGGAAAGATAATATCCCAAAGTTGTTTATTTTACACTGATTTTTACCCCCCTTGCACTCATTTGCTTATACATTTCTTTCACTCGTATTCTCACACTCACACAGAAGCAATGAGATGTTTTGCGCAACACAGAGAGCTGGGGATGCTGCCTCATGAATCCTCATCATGAGTTCTTGATTGGTAGTGTCATGGTTTAAGCAAGAAATTAGGCTCTGGACAAACTGCTTTATTCCTTTAGGAGTGGTCTTTTGCTATTCCTGTTGTGCTAACAGGGAAAGGAATGATAAATGTGACATGCTGCAAAGTCATTGCCACCCCTCCTGTCATTAGTGTACGGGTCTTCCATCGATGAGTTATTTGTACTGAGGTTTAATCGGAGTGTGGCCACGTGGGCTGGACAGAAACAACAGGGTCCTCAGTCTGGCTGAGTGAAAGGGATTCTTTGCCATCATACAGACCATTCTTTTTAACTCTTGCTTTGCTGGCTTTTTTTCTGGTGCTTTCTCTTTCTGTGTTGTTGATGGCATTTCATTCACACTCAAATATTGCTGTTACAAGCTGCTACAGTACAGCTACAATCCAACTAATCTCTATAGGCCCTCTAATGCTTTTGTCATAAAGGATGCATGTTTTTTTTGGCTTTTATATTTTATTGCAATTTACACATTTCTTCTGTTCTAGTCTACTTCAAATGTATAATGAGCTACAGAAACGCTGCATTAAAGAAATCAAAACAAACCAGGAGCAAAGGGAAGCAATTAACAATCTCACTGTAAGTAGAATTTGTAGGAAATGGTATCGAGTAAGCCAAACTTAAGTTTTTGGGGAGACTGGAAAATAATTCTTACATTTGTAAAATGAGACCATGTTTTTCTTTATAATCTTTCTTTATTTCCTGTGTCATTGAGATAACAGAAAGTAGTCTGTAGTTTCCTTTGAAAGTGAACTCTGTCACTGGTCTGTAGCTGACAGCTGTGTCCCCTTTTCTTGCTTTTTTCTTTACTTATCTAGCAACCCCTTCTTCTAACTGTATATGCATCTTCTGACCTCTTTTGTACCAGCCCTGATATTTTTCTGTGTTTCATAAGCTGATTTATCCTAGAAATCCAGCGTTAAGCTAACCAAATGAAGGCAAATAATCTTCTGTTAGGTAGCAAGATCTGTTGGCTTCATAGAGACTAGCATCATAACTGGAGCAGAGGTAGGGCGGCGTGGCTAAGAGTGGTTCAGGAAGCTACAAGTGGGTATTGCCTCTTTAGGCATTGATGGAGCATTACAGCTGACCAGTCTAATTTCCTCAGGGGATTCTGGAACATGTGCTTTATTTGTTTGTAAATTAATATTCATTGTAATTTGGATTACATGTACTTTTTCTTCGAAGTTGGCAGTTGCTGCCCTAAAAGTACACTTTATCATGCGGAAAGGTTCAGTATCTTTGTGCATGTACATTTATATTGCCTTGCAAGCATATGCTCAGCATCAGATTCTTTTAAAATGCTTATGTATATGCAAAGCTTCACTTGCTGTATTTTTTTCCTCCTTTCAGACCCTTTGGATGAATGTAGTTTTAAGACAGCAATTAAAAGCTCTAGGTTTATATCTGGGCTATGTTTTCAGTTGTATTCAGTTGAGCTGTGTTTGTTCTATGCATTTTAAAAAATTTTTAGTTTCTTGACAGATTAAAATTCATGAGCTAGAGCAGAATCTTCGAGAGCAGAAGCAAAGAATTGAGCAACTAGAACATAAAAAGGTTTCTTGGAAAGCTAGTGCTGTTTCTGGAAAAAGAAGTCGAACTCCAGAAGAAGTAACATCTCCCAGGGACATTTCTAAAAAGAAGGAACCTTATTGCAGTAAATGTTTAGGTAATGGTACAGTTAATTCTGATGATGTTCCTTCCATTAGGCCTGTCAGAGATGCATTTTGCTTCTGATCAAGAGGCACACACACCAGGGGATTTCTTCTGCTTTAACCAGCTATATCTGAAATGTTTTTCATTTTTTAAAACCTGCTGTGTAAAAATAGCATCTCGTAACTAATATCCTCTCTACGGATCCAGCCCTGCATTTGTTTGAGATAAAAATAAGTGTTTGCTGCTTTTCTCTTTTTCTGAAATTGGTATGTTGGTGTAATCGTGGGTGGGAGTGCATGGCTCTGTTTAGTACTATTTGTTATTTATTCTAGTAAGCTGTATCTATGCAGATCTCTTAGTGATAACGTTTGCTGTTCCCTTCTTTGGTTTTCAGACACTGATACACAAAAGAACCTGTTTTTAGCCTTAAAATCTGGGACAAACCCAGACAATGCTGGTTTGAACATGTTCTTCCTCACATAAGTAAATCCACAAGTTAAGGTGCAATTCTGTTCTACTTCAAAGCATAAAAAAGAGATAGAAGAGACGGTATAATGTAGGCATAATTTTCAGGAAGTGTGCTGTCAGCAAGAGCTGATGTGACCCTCTCATAAGTCAGGAAAAGTAACTGAGGCACATGATGTATGTTTTGTGGATTTTTAAAGTAGAATAATACCACATTCTAAGAATCTGGCAGATTCAGATTTTCCAATTGACAGATCCTGTTACCTTTCATAGTACCTGGGAGCGTGTTGGGCCAATGCTTAAAGATAAATCGCTTTATGAAGAAGGTACTTTAAAAAGCTGAACCATAATTTTCTAATACAAAATGTAGGCAGCTCTTTAGCTTAATATGATTCATATGAGGGGGAGGTTGACTGTAATGGTTGAAGTCTATATTTTTTTATTTGAATATAGAGCTATTGTTGAAGGAGATTAAAAAGCTGAAGAAAGAAAAAGAGAAGTTGTCTACAGAAAGGAGAGCACTAAAAAATCAATTAGCTGTATTAGACAAGGTAATTTATTTTGAGACAAATTTAAGAATGGGTGATTTTTTTAAAAAACCCAACTTTTCTTCCTGAACTGAAACTTATCTTTAGGCTGAACATATGTTGTTATCAAGCAAAATGCATGAATTTATAACATTCTGAGAAAGAAATGGAAATTAATGACTCCTTGAAACATTAATGTCCTACAGTATGGTTTGGCTAAGGAAGAGTGTAATATTTTTGTGTTTGTTGTGTTTTAAACAGGTGTGTATTTTCATAGGTTTTTATTTAT